TCGATTTTTGTGCAATACTGATCGACCATAAAAATTCCATTCGAACGCCTTTGATCTTCAATTCAACTTCCAATAATTCCTCAGATACATATCAACATAAATTATATCAGAAACAGAGCTTAATTGCGATAAACGGATCGAATCGGGTGATAAATCAGTGAAAAACAGCTTACCGGGTTCGAATTTGACGAAACGGACTTCAGATTTGGATTCAGGATGTCGAAAGCATAAAATCTGACTTTTCGGAAATTTAGAATTTTCGGTCAAAATCAAAGTCAACGGGTTTGACAGGCAATTTCGAGGCCTTCGGGTTCGAATTTCGAAAAACAGACTGCGGAATCGGATTTGGAATGTCGAAAAATGTCAGGATAGGTATACTCGGTCAAAGTCAAAGGTCGTTTAATGGCCAGTCAAAGCTAGTCAAAGTTTTGGTCAACAGTGGTCAATGTCGGTCAACGGTCAACGGGTCAATGGGTCGGGTCAAGTAAACGGGTCGGGTCAGGTTTTGACCGGTCAAACCGGTTAAAATAGGAGCAAAACCGGTCAAACCGGTCATTTTTTTCTTCCCCACGCACAGTGGCGGCGCATGAACAGTGCTAAATTCCCGGAAAAATTTCTAAAAATTATTTTGAGCGATTTCTAGATACTTACAAAGCTCGGTTCACAATTTTGAACGGCGGAGAGCTCAATTTCAACAAATCAAAAACTTTGACCGCTTCACCTCCTCACGCGCCGCCATTTACGGAGACAACGGATGATACCGGCAGACTCGGAATGATGCAAGGAACACGATGATGTGAGAGGTGTCGTAAAAGGATGGCCGGATCGTCGTGAATTGATGAAAAACCAATTAAAACCGAGTTATTACCGACAATACTTCCGACTGAAATTAACGACGAACGACGACGATTCACGATAAAAGGTTTGAAGGGTTTTGTTCCTCGGTTGACAACGAACACGATGGTGGTTTCGGCTCGTCGATCGGAAGTCGGACGGCGAGTAGATCGGAGTTGAAAGAAGGGTTGACAGGAGAGGAAAAACTGGAAAATTTCCAGAAACATACGGGAGATTGGGGTTTATAACATCTCATAATTAAAAATGGCTAAACCAAGAGTTTAGCCACTGAACTTCCTGCACTTCATAAAACGGTCTGCCAACTTTAAAATTTTGCAATTTAACCCACTGTTTCTTTCAAAATACCAAATTAAATCCACCACTTTATAATTTCTTAATTTTAACCCATAAATTGGGGTGTTAAACTTTTGGAATTTAAAAGAGAAGTTATTGCGCTAACAAAGTATCGATAGTTTATAAAAATGTATTGATCCATAATAATATAACAGGTAAAAATATGACAAAACCGGTCTCGAAATGACAAAACCGGTAAAGAGCTACCGGATATGTTGAAAGTGTCGATACTTTATTATAAGTATCGACACTTTTGGAATTTAAAAGAAAAGAAGTTATAGCGCCAATAAAGTATCTATACTTTATAAAAATGTATCGATCCATAACAATATAACATGTAAAAATATGACAAAATCGGTCTCGAAATGACAAAACAGGTAGTAAAAAAGTGTGCTTGTGTGGTCATTTGTATTTCAAAATTTTCATTTTTTTAATACAAAAAGTTGGATATTTTAAGCAAAACCCAGTAAGAAAAGAACAAAAACTTTGCAGTAACAAAAGAATGACATTGGGAAACCCACCATGTTATCAGTTTCTCAAAGAATAAAAACCCAGAAATAGGTAAATTTATAATGTAACCGGTAAAAATATACTGGTTAATTAGCAAATAGGTTTACATTATGTATCGACACTCTTTAAATATGTGTCGATACTTTTTTCCCAAAATGAAAGCACAACGAGGTGCAATCATAAAGTGTCGATACATTTAAAATTGTATCAATCCCAAAAACATCAAAACCGATAATTATAATGTAAAAGGTAAATTTGCAATGTTACTGGTTTAAATATACCTATTTAATTAGAAAATAGGTCAATATAAGCGCTACATATTACATTATATAAGCGCTACCTAATATGTTATTGTACTTGATAATATTTTCGATTAAATGATATAACATAACCGATCTAAATTTTAACCAATCATTTATTTAATAAATCACGCTATTTTTAACCATTTTTAGACGTCGCACAGCAGAAGTTCCCCACCGTTAGGGGTGTTCATTCGGTTAAAACGGTGGCCGACCGAACCGAATTAACCATAACCGAATTAACCAAACTTTTTTTTTCTTTAACCGTTAACAGAACCGAATTTTTTTTCGACCATATTAACCGAACCGAATAAATTTCAGTTAATTTCGAATTAACCGAATTTTTTTTAAAATTTTCTAATTTATATAAAATTAAATATTTTTAATTCAAAAAAGTTTATAATTAATTTAAATAATAAATAATTATAAAATAAAATTTTAGATAAATTTTTTAATTAATTATTGATTTAAGTTTAAAAGTTATTGGATTTTAAATTATTAATTGGTTTTAAATGGTTTGGGCTTAGCCCATATGTTATATATATATTTAATATTTTTTAATTAAAAACAATTTACAATTAATTTAAATAATATATAATTATAAATAAAAAATTTATATAATTTTTTAATTAATTAATATTGATTTAAGTTTAAAATTATTGGATCTTAAAGTATTAATTAGATTTTTATGGCCATATGTTATATATAATATATTTAAAATTTAAAATTTAATTTCGGTTAATTCGGTTAATTAACCGAATTCGAACCGAATTAACCGTTAACCGAATTCTAAAAAAAATCAAACTAATTCGATTCGATCGATTAATCGAATTAATTCGATTATTTGAACACCCCTACCCACCTTAAGTCTATGGATGTGTGTTAAGTCTATAGAGTTCTCTTCAAGTTTCAATGAATCTCCACCTTTGCATGTACATCGTACGTTCCCTATTCTCACCAAGTGGCACAACAACAGTTTTTCTTTATTCGTCCTTGCATTCGAAAAACCTGCTACACTTCTTTTCTGACTGTCCTTATAATTAGATTGATTTTCCCTCTATTTATTTTCTTTAATATTCTATTATTACGAACAAGCTAATTCTAAATTAAAAATTATAGAAAATACAAACAATCTTTTAAATTATATGTTTTACTGAAAATATTTTCTAAAAAACAATATTTTTTAAAAATATAATATTTTATTATATTTATATGATTCTATATAAAGTTTTTCGTGTCTATAATGTTTCTTTTTTGTCCCGGGCGGGTATTTAATTTTCGTCGATGGTCATCTTCTTAAAATTCTTCAGGTAATTATTTTACCGTTTGAATCCAAAATTACATTTTTATTATTTTTTTATCGATACAATTTTTTTTAAAAAAAAAATATGATTCCATTTGAAGGAATTAAGTCAACACATTTGATGTTATATTCTTAACAAAATATGTTTACTTTGAAGAAATATGTAAGTGACTAGATGCATGAACAATAAAAAAATATATTAGCCTCTGTATTTATAAAGTTTCTAAATTTTTTAATATCATATTCTAATGTTATAGTAAATAAAACCATGTAATTTATATATCATTTATACATTATAATAACGATATAAACTTATTGATATTTTATATCATCTAATTTTTAATCTTGATATTATAATTGTTTTAATTTTTTCTTAACTTTTGAAATGAATGTAATTTACTCTATTTTTCAAATTGCTTCACATTTTATAATTATTTTGATTTCATTCTTTTGTGTTCTTTACTTTATTTAAATTTTAATTCGTTCATTTTCATATTTATTTAATTTAGTCATTTAATTTATAGTTTCATATGAATTTGACTCATTCTTATTTCTTATTTATATTTTTGTAATTAGGTCATAACTTTTTAAATGGGTATAATTTAGTCTTTTTTATATTAATTTCAACATCGGATTTTAAAATTATTTCGATTTAGTCCCTCATCAATGTGTGTTGTTTAATTTATTTAAATTGTTATTGGTAATTTCATATTTGTTCAATTTAGTCCTTGATTTTATATTTTTCATAAAATTGATCCATGATTATTTGTATTCTTAGTAATTTACTCTAAATCATATACAATTACCAATTGCAATTCAACGTTCGCGAAAGATGAAAATAATTAATCCAAAAATAAAAATTGACCTGATTTGAACTCAATTCGTATCTGATAAAGATCCAACTTGAATTTTATCTGTCAATGATGTGACTCGATCTGAACGAGATCCGCCTGAAGTCCATCCAATCCTAAATTAACATGTTCTTTAACTGCTCCGGACCTAAACTGTTTTGACCTGAACTAACATCGATCTGAATTGAAAGTAACTCGATTTGAACCCGAACTGAACCTGGTATCAAATCAACTTGAAAATGACCCGACCTGATCCGAATCGAAACATCAAATTTACCTGACTTGACCTATATCCGATTTTACCCGACCTGACAAGATTCGATTGAAACGTGAATGATTACCCCCATTTTACATCCTTAGTTGTAACCAGCCTTGGTCCAGTAAATGCTGGTTTACCAACAACATACCCACATATTAAATGAGTTTGGGTTCGTAAATGCCAACGTATTTAGGGTCTGTTTGTTTCACTGAAATCAGTTTTTGGAAAATGAAATCTAGAAAATGTTTTATAGAAATGTAAATCATTTTCCAGAAAACATTTTTCAGTGTTTGGATGGTACATTATAAAATGTTTTACACTGTTTGGGTAATTTTCCTGAAAACTGTTTTCAGAATCTGTTTTTAATGAAGAAGTTGTACATATTGAATATGTTTTATTATTTATTATTTTTAAAGGTTCATTTTTTATATATAATTATATTTTATAAAAATATGTATTTTAGATAATATTAATAATTGATTAAAAATATATTATAAAAATTTATAAATCCTAAGAATGTTTAATTAATAGTACACCAAATTAAAACAACAATAGTACATAACATTGTACTAATAATAATAGTGTCAAAATATATAATTAAAGGGTTTATCACATTAAACCAACAATAATATCCAACCGTGATAATACATAGTCTAATTCATAATTAGTGCTAAACACATCAAACCAACAATACAAATACTGAATCTATACTACAACACATTAGAGCTAAAATATTGTCTAATTCATAAATAATAATACAACACATTAAAGTTCACATTTGAAAGTAACTTGTTCCTCTAATTTTTTAGGCTAAATCATGTGCTTCACTAACCCTCTGCCAAATAATTGAAACCTCTTCTCCTAACTCGGATCCTTGGGGAGCATCCAGGTTATACACAACAACCATCTTTGCTTGAGATGTCTGATCACCGCTGTTATTATGTTCGATTAGTTCCTCCATTCTCATCAGAACAATACCACCCGCGGTGACAACCAGATTTTGAAGATCTTCCTTGTAACCAGACACGAAATCGCCCACAAAATAAAAGTTAAAGCCATCAAAGAGCTTTGGTGCCTGCTAGAGGAACATGTTACTTTGCTTGCGAAGCAAAAGGTAATAGTGTTGCCAACTTTAAAAACTAGCAGACATAACTTACATCATTTAATATCGAGTCTGCCAGTTTTAGGGCCATCACGACACCTGTGGTTATCGAGACTAACTGTAAGGTTCCTCACTCAAAGGATGCATGGCTTTCAAGCACTCCTTTACCCCTGTAAAATTAAGCTTACATATCAGTGGTGACTATACAACTTATTGTTTTAGTGTTTGAACTTCATCCAACACACATTCAACAAAGTAAAAGAAACAGATGCTTATGAATATAGAGTGGAAAAAGAAACAATTGAACTTACAATTTATATTAAGAATCCACTTCCCGTTTGAAGTGTCATGGTGTATGCACCATTCCCATCTGTAGAAGCAATCACATGAGTGACATCCGGCTTCCAAAACTTGGATACAGTTGCACCAATCATGTTCGCAAACTTGATCAAAAGGAACTGCAACAAGGTAAAACAATAAATATATACAATAAGAGTACATTGTTGTTAAAATAAAAAGCCTATTCAAGGATATCTTATCAACGAAATAATCTCCATGTAAGATACTATGCGTCCATTTCCAACACCAAAAAGATCGATTAAAAGAAATCAATGCTTGAAAAATATATCAGTTTCACCTTTCAACATGATAAAACACAAACAATTCAAAGATACAGTACTTATAAAATAACTACTCAAAACTTATAAATGGGTCAAAACAAAAATAATAGGGTTTAGAAATAAGATAACCCATATACTAACCTTATTTAGCTCCCAACAATGTTTTACCCAAAAAAAACAAATAGAAGTAATTAAATGAAAATCACCTCGATCTGCAGATTGATCTTTGCAAATAGGACACTCTGAGCAAAACTCAGTTCTGGCTATGCACGTACTGTAACAATTTCAAAAACAAAAAAAAATGAAAAGAAAGCAATGAAAACCAAAAAATTTCAGAAGTGAAGATAAAGATAGAAGGAGAAATGGTACTAACTCGCAAAACAGATGGTCGCACGGCATCAACAATGGTCGTTTAAACAAATTCAAACTGTCAAGATAACAATTTTTAATAATATCAACTTCAAAACCTCAAATTAAAAAAACAAATAAAACACAGCACAATGAGAGAGAACAAACCAGAGAGAACATTTAAGCTCCAGACCCAGTTTTTGAAGATGAAGAGCCCAAGGATTCATAGCTCTATTAACACTCTGCTTAGTTGAAAGATTCATTATTTGCTCAAAAGCAAAAATGAGGGGAAGTCGATAAATGAGAGACTTATAAGGAAAAAGAAAAGGGAGAAGAAGAAACGAGACATACCTGAGAAGACGACCGTCCGCCTCGCCGGTGAAAAGGATTCCAAACAGTCGCCGGTGTGGAGCAAGGACGGGAGAAAGAATTTACGGTGTTCTCTGTGTGGAGCAAGGGTCGCGAGAAAGCTTTGGATTTCGACTTACCCTTTTCCAAACGGTAAGTCGAAATACCGTGTTTAAGCCAAAGTTTTCCATTGACGGTAAAACGTTTTACGTTGACCTAAGAGTTTTACGCGAACCAAACACCTGAAAATAGGAAAAACATTTTCCGTAAAATATTTTCTCCTTTCCAAACAGATCCTTAGTTTCCACTTGATAGCCTTGCCCTACTGAAATAGGAATGCCTACACAGGATGTATGCTTCTCCTCCCCTTATTTCATTTGCCAAAAGAGCAGCTAAAGTAGCAATTGCTATCCATTTATTCACTTAACTTTTATTGCGTTTCTATTTGAATCATTCTGTTTTAACTTTTTATTTATTTATTTTTAGGCTTAATATAAAAAATATATTCAAATTATACCATTTTTCCTATTTAGGTGTCTAAACTTATAAATTTAAAATATGAGAATTTATCATTAGCAACCATTCCTATTATACATTTCTTATATAAGTACACAATCGATTTCAGACTTAGCATAGATATGAACATGCTGAAAGTAATTTAGGTATTATACAGAACTTTTTATTTATTTATTTTTAGGCTTAATATAAAAAATATATTCAAATTATACCATTTTTCCTATCTAGGACCCTCAAACTTGCTTCATTCTTTGATTGGACCATTCAAACTTCAATTCAATGTAATTGTGCCCCTAAACCTCTAAAAATTTCATAAGGTCTATATAATACCCATTTTTGTTTCGAGCCCCAAACTCATTCGAGATGGCCCTTCCCTTGGGTAATGCTGAAGAGCCCATAGACATTTGTTATGGCAAGAAGATCCTAGATTAATATCTATCATCATATTTTCTTTTGATTTATTTCCATATTTGATGTAATCTCCTATTTATGAAATATATTGTTAGGGTTTATTTAATTTCCTTAAATAAGGGGATTGCATAGATATGCTTTAATCTTAGCCTTCAATGTAAATGATCTAGAACATTGGATGTAAGGATGCTCAACTATAAATAAATACCTTCTCCACTTTATTGAAGAGACAAAAAAGATTAAAGGTGATTCATTATGCACTCCTAAATAATAAAAGCAAACATTTGTTCTATATTTCTCTTGTTTTTTTCTTCTCTGTCTTTGGTTTTTCTCTTGGTGTAAGTTGTAGAATATCTCATCTGAATCGTGAAGTTCATTAGTAAAAGGATAAAAGGGTAGGTCGTCCAAATAGATTAAGCTCGAACTAGATTATCGCAAACTCAAGTTGAAACACGAATCATAAATACATACATTCATTCAGATTAAGTTCAATCTTTTAGGATATTTATACATCTTTTGATTGATAAATAACATTTATTATATTATTAATATATTTTAAAATAATTATATATATAATATTTGTAATATTTTATTACTTTAATTAATTGATACTATGATATTGCTTTTATTATACCTTTATTTATTTATATAATGTGATTATATATATTTTCATATTTAAAGTATAATGATAATTATTACCATTTTGATTTTCTTTATATATATATATATATATATATATATATATATATATAAAACTATTTAAATGACCACTTTCCTTTTATATTTGTACATTTTTCTCATTAAAATAAAAAAAATTAAGTTTTGGTCACTTACATTATCGTTTTATTAACTTTTTGTCACTGCAACATTGAATGTTGTTAGTTTGATGGTGTGACACATTAATAAAAGAATTTAATGAGCTGCTGGAATTTCCCGTAAAATCCGACCTGGTTTCGATTCAATCTAGTTCACTATTTTTTCAAACTCATCGGCATGGTCTGGTTGTAGGGTATTCCAACCAAACTCACTCATATTGCTTTTCTTATCGAAGAAGTAATTGACATTATCTAAGACTAAGTCAGGTCCAGCAAGCGTCAAGCTCGAGCATGAATCGGGTTTAAACTCAGTCTCAGTTGGATCAACCCCCTCTTTACCTTCTTGCATCCTCTAAACCTTCATCAAAAGAAAAAATGAAAGAAAATTGAAGGATTGAAAGCATCCAAATGAAATATAAAAGGAAGACCGTGAAATAAAGGAATGGACAGAGCGTTAGTTTCTTTAGGTATAATGTAGAAACTATTTCTAACGTTTGATCAAGTAGTCATTTTGGCTCATGTTTTGATTAAGTAATCATTTTGGCTCATATTTTTTTAAAGTATTTTAGCATCCAATATTTCATTTTACGGAAAAATGCTCCTCTATGGATGAAAATTATATGCTCCAAAATAGAGGTCTTTTTATAGTAAAATTTAAAATTAAGCGTCAAAATGCTCCAAAAAAGAATGAGTATAAGTGACTATTCAATCAAACGTTAAAGACATTTTTACCATAAAAATAAACGTTAGGGGCCAAAATACTCTCAAAAAATAGAGATCAAAATGACTATTTTAGTACATATTGGGACTAATTTTGACATTATGCAATTGTTTTAAAAAAGCATTAAATTAAAGGTTTTTTTATTATTTAAATAAAAGGGGTCAGTGGCGCATGGAAGCTTGATTTCGGCATGGGTGATAGCTGATGGAAAACGTATTAGAAAAATGGATAAATTCGAAACTTGTCCTTAAATTGTTTTGGGTTTACAAAAACGCCTATAAGTAGTATTTTTTTTAAAGTTTAGGGGTTGAAATAAAAATTAAATTGTTTTACTAACATATCACATCATCAAACTAACAACATTCAACGTTCTAGTGACAAAAACCGAGGATTTAAATAGCGGTTGCAGTTACATTGCGTTTATTGCGATTACAGACATAGAAGACGCTATTGCAGTGATTACAATATTTACACTACTACCACTATATTGCGGTAGCAAACTACTATTTAAATCCCTGACCAAAACTTAGGTTCTTTAATTTGAAAAGCAAAAGTGTACAAATATTAAAGATAAGTGACAATTTCAATAGTGTATATATATAATATTTGGGTAAACTACACGGGTGGTCCTTTATGTTTTTAGTCTGTCTAATTTTGATCACCAAGTTAAAAAGGAGTAGTTTTGGTCTCTATTGTTATCAGTCCGTTCGGTTTTAATTTCCCAGTCGTTAACTCCCATTAATAGAAGTCTAAGTTGACAATTAACGAAAGTTTGAGTTAACGGCTGAGGGACTAAATTTGAAAAGACCGATAACGTAAGGGACCAAAATCGTTTGATTTTTGAATTGGTGACCAAACTCAGACGGACCGAAGACGTAAGGAACCACTCATGTAGTTTACCCTTAATATTTTTTGTATCTTATATTATGTATAATTTTACGTAGTATATTTTTATAATTATATAGGATATATTTTTAATGTATATGTTATTTATATATGTGAATTGATATTTTCCCTTTTTATAAGTAAAAAATCATAATTTAAATTACATAATATAAAAAAGCTTCTAACGTTTTACTAAATAATTATTTTGGCTCATTTTTTTGAGTATTTGATCCTCAATGTTTCATTTTGAGGAAAAAATGCTCCTCAATGAAGAAAAATGTTAGTTACAAACGATTAACACTCTAAAATAGGAGTTTTTTACCCTAAAATAAAACGTTGAGTACATAAATGCTTCAAAAAGGAATCAGGACCAAAGTAAATATACAGTCAATGTTAGGGTCTTTTTTGCCCTAAAATGAAACGTTAGGAGTCAAAATGCTCCAAAAAAGTAATATGGGCCAAGATGGCCATTTGAATAAACGTTGGGGGCTACTTTTAGCATTATGCCTAGAGGTGCTTATTGAGCGAGCCGATCGCGAGTTGGACAGTGCTCAACTCATGCTCGTTAAAAAATTTGTTGCTTGATTCGACTTGTTGCTCGTTAAGCTCATTAAAATTTTGCTCGACTCGTGCTCGTTAAAAAACTTGTTTGAATCATTGCTCATTAAACTTTGTTGGAAAAAAAGAAAAGCATTAAAAAAAGAAGAAAAAATGAACAAAAAAAGAGAGGAAAAAAAGTGCATCTCTTGTCTTGACTATAGAGCCTATATTTTTACCTTTTATTATACCCTTACCTAAGCTCAATTGCAAAAGACCCTTTGATTATTACATCTTATTCATATACAGTGGTTTAGATTTGATTCACTTGCAAATATATGATAATATTGTATTATGTTATGACTTTGAGAGTTGGTTACTCTCTAAATACTTTGAGAGTATTGAGTGAACTCATACGAGGGTGTTAAGTCTTGTTGCATTAATTAATGGGATATTTTGATTTTACCATAAATTTATCATAATCATGTTCTTTTACTTTATTGTTATTTTGGTTCAAATATTTGATTTGGAATTGACTTTGTTGGTATTATGAGATAAGAAGCGAGATGATGAAAGGTAAATGGAAAAATTGGTATGTTGAATTGAGGTATGCTTCAGGACAAGCATTGAATAAGTGTGAAATATTTGACAAGTGTTGAATATTGCATATTTTTACTATTATTTACTCCTCATTTTTTGTTTGGATATTATTGATTGTTTCCTTTTGGGTTTATTCTGGACATGGGCTTCATTGGATAAATAGCCCAAAAATCAGTAGATTTCGATGGTCTAGTTAGCATCTTCGAGAGTACGAGCGGAATTATCTTGAATATTTAATTGAAATTTACATGACATAAGATTTTTCAGAAGCAGAATTAGACCATAACTACAATACTTAAATATTTATTTTTATCTTTGTGATAAACCTATTAAATTTAAGATTTTTAGTTTGATTATATTATTATTATTATTATTATTATTTATTTATTTAAGAATTAGTTATTTTATTAGAACTATCGGTAGTATTTTTAGTTTGATTACATCATTATCTTTTATTTAGGAATTAATTATTTTATTTACTTAGAACTCTCGGTTAAATAACCGTTAGGTTCAACATTTGAACACATATTGAAATTTATATTTCCTTAATTATTTATTGAATTTCTACTTTTCTTTCATCTCTTTATTTTATTTCAATCCAAGAAGGCGTCAAGTTACTATATTTTCAATCAAAAAATACGTCGTTGGCTTGAAGTTTGTTTTGGCTTACAATTGGGAAGACGGATTGGTTGGTCGTAATTTGACTTCTTGTGAACAAACTTAGCAGCGGTCTGCTAAGGGGAATTAAGATCGAGTTCGATTCTCATAGAGGCTCTATAACCAAAGTTGGGCTCTTCCAACACTCAAAATTGTCTTGGTGCTAACAGTGATAGATGTGGTTAGTCCAACAAGGATCAAATTTCGGATATAGACTTAAAAATTTCAGTTAACTAGAGAGAAAAGTTAGTTGCGAAGGTTGGGCTCCGTTAACTGTAATCAACGTGCATCAAGGAGAGAAAATCTATTTCGACACAAAATTGAGGCTAAGCAAAGCCTAACACTATATAATCTCAACTGAATTCTTCTACTTTATTTACTTTTTCATTATATTTTATTCGTTATTTACTTTTATTATTTATTTACTATCATTATTTCTAAATCTCCATTTTTTAACTTTTGCAACAAATTTATCATACTTTCTTAATTCTTGTGGATCGATCTATACTTCTCTATACTATTTTCATTATTTATTTGACAAATTCGACGCTCGTCAATTCATAAAAAATGATTACCATAAAAATCTCATCGAAAAAATATTTTTTTTGTATTATCTAGAAATTTTGTATATAAGCCCATACAAGATGGTAAAACCTAAGAAACTAAAGGTCCATTTGTTTCACGTAAAACGTTTTTCGGAAAATATTTTTCTCATTTTCCAGTATTTGATTGGAAGAAACTGGTTGGTCAACGTAAAACATTTTCCTGATCAACAAAATTTCCTTTGTGTTTTATTGAAAATGACTTACGGTCTGATTTTCCGTAAGTCATTTTTTGAACTTTTCACTTCAAAGAATAAATACTCAAAATAATTTTATTTTATGAATTTAATATTAATAAAATATTTTAATATCATTTTAATCAAAATATTAATTATTAAAATATTTAAAAATATTTATTAATATTTCTAATAATATAATATTATATTTTTAATATTATAATAAAATAATCAATTATATTATAATAATATAATATAAGATATTATATTATATTTTAACAATATATAATAAATTTTTGATAAAATTTAAATTATTTATTAATTTCATAGAAATAATATTATTAAATTATTAATAATGAATAATATTATTTATATATTTAATAGTAATATAATAATATAATAATATTTTAAGATATTTAAAATATACTAATTAATATTTTTAAAATATAATATACACTATTACTTTAATAAATAATTAATATAATTTATAATATTTTTATTTCAATAAAATATATCAATATTAATATTTTTATTAATAAAATTATAAAAATAATATTTTAATAATAAATAAATTATTTTAATATTTTTTAAAAATAATAATATAAAATTTTATGATAAATAATATTATTTATTATATTTAATATTTGTAATAAATAATTTTTAAAAATTTTATCACCTAGTGATAAAAGAGTTTAAACATCTTCTAAATATCATAATTCTTTTTAAAAAATATAATTCATTTTATAAAAAAAATTAAAAAAAAAATTCAGTAAAATATTCTGACCCTAAAACAAAAATATCTTAGTGCTTAATATGAACATGAGATTCAGATGAAAAAAATAAAATGTAATCCAATATTTATGAAATGATGGGACGCAGAATCCTTTAATGCAACTTGGTACAATCCCAGCTCAATCTCCCTCACCTCAACTGTTACTCATCAATGCCTCGCTCCCAGTCTCACTTATTGGTTATACTTATTGCTCTGTTTCTTATGAATCCATCTATTCAAACGTGATCCTAGTGCCAGCTGCCACCATTCTCACTCAGCACTTTCTTGTTTCATTTTCACTTTTGCATCAACTTATATTAACGTATTGTTCTAAAATTTCCACATTCTTATTTTGTTTTTAGTTTAATTCCTTGTCATTTCCATTTGCGTTTCCCTCTAAGAAATGAAACTTTAAAGATGTCATGCTCTGAAGCAAGGCTATTGTTCCTCTAGTTTCAAGCTCTAAACTTTATTTGTAACTAGCAAAAACCCAAGAGGCCAAAAGGGTTGGTATTATTTGTTTGACAATTATTTCTTCTTTGGGTGGTTGTCTTTTTCTTTTTATTTATTGTTGAAGTTTGTAGTTGGGTAGATGAATAAACTCAAGACGGAGAAAACAAAGTATTGTTTTCCAGTTTTTAGATTATTATCTTCTACAACACTTCAATAAGCTCCATTCTTCTGAAATTGTTTTTATATTGAAACTCTCTTCAACAAAATCTCTACATTGGAATTGGTTTGAATATCTAAATGGGCTGATCACAAGTTAGCTTTGTTTTTGGTAAAAGAACCCACCAATAAAATCGTATTCTTTTGAATCAGGGAGCAACTTGGGAACAGAAGTTGTTTTAGGAGAGCAAGCGCCATATAAAATCAAAGGGAAACTGGAAAAATTTTCAGGAACTCATCATATATACTACATACTTTGTGGGATTGGAGGATTGGGTTTTCTTTTGTTGTTGATTAGTTGATTTGTTGTGTTGGATTTTTCTTGGAAGAATATGGTAGGGAGTATTGACAAATTGCACCAGAGTTTGAACTCAAATGGGTCTTTTAACAACTGTAATGGCTTGGAAGAGAAACTTGACGAGTTTCGGCACCTTTTGTGCAAGACTGATGGTGATCCATTGAGGATTGTGAGTGTGGGAGCAGGTGCTTGGGGAAGTGTTTTCGCTGCTTTGCTGCAAGATAGCTATGGCCAGTTCCGAGACAAGGTTCAAATCAGGATATGGAGAAGGCCTGGGAAAGTAGTCGATAGAGCCACAGCAGAACATCTCTTTGAAGTGATCAATTCAAGGGAAGATGTGCTGAGGAGGTTGATCCGGCGATGTGCCTATTTGAAGTATGTCGAGGCAAGATTAGGCGATCGAACACTCTTAGCGGATGAGATTTTGAAAGATGGTTTTTGCTTGAACATGATTGATACACCACTTTGTCCTTTGAAAGTTGTGACTAACTTGCAGGAAGCTGTTTGGGATGCTGATATCGTCGTAAACGGCTTGCCTTCGACCGAAACTCATGAGGTATTCGAAGAAATCAACAATTATTGGAAAGAAAGAATCACGGTGCCTATAATTATCTCTTTGTCAAAGGGTATAGAGGCTGCATTGCAACCTGTTCCTCATATCATCACCCCAACACAAATGATTAATCGAGCAAGTAAGAGTTCTTATCGATTAGTTAATGTTCTTGCTGTGTTTAAAGCTTCCTTGGACAATATTTTTGGTACCTTCGTTTGAGAGATGCCTCGGTTATTTTGTGTTATAGTTTTGTAGCATTGGTGAAACAAGGGAAAATTTTGAATTTCAGATGATCTTATACTTTGCTGACCACGTAATCGATAGTCTGAAACTTTTGGTTTTGAGCTAAGAAAAAATTGTTGGTAACTAACATCTTATCTGAAATACGGAATACAGAATCCGCAATCTGTTTCTTTTGTCTAGTTTTGCCTCTCAAATAAAACCATTTTATCTGTCATATTTTTTAGCTTTATTCGCATCTTCTTTGCAGCTGGAGTACCTATAGAGAACATACTCTATCTTGGGGGACCAAATATTGCCTCTGAGATCTACAATAAGGAATATGCTAATGCTCGAATATGTGGAGCCGAAACGTGGAGGAAACCATTAGCAAAATTCTTAAGACAGCCCCATTTCATTGTTTGGGACAACAGTGATCTTGTCACTCATGAAGTCATGGGTGGCCTGAAGAATGTCTATGCCATCGGAGCTGGCAAGTACCTCTGTATCTTTTGGCCAATAAATTAGTAAAGCTCAGGTTCTCGAGTTGATAATCTAATCTTTACCTCACTGAACTACAACATTCTAGAGTAATGATGAATGAATCTGGGTCGACATAGGTTAGACATAGTTTAAATGCTTAAAGAAGAACCTTGATGATGCAAATAGGAAATGATCTACTCACTCGAGTTCAAAAGGTATGCACACTGTTTTAAATTTCGGAACTTCATAATGACTTTCAAGTTTGATTTTCTCAGGAATGGTGGCAGCCCTGACCAATGAAAGTGCTACCAGCAAATCAGTATATTTTGCACATTGTACATCGGAAATGATTTTTATTACTCATCTGTTGGCTGAAGAACCTGAGAAGCTTGCAGGCCCTTTGCTGGCTGACACTTATGTAACTTTGTTAAAGGGTCGTAATGCATGGTACGGCCAAATGTTAGCAAAAGGAGAACTAAGTCGAGATATGGGCGATAGTATCAGTGGAAAAGGAATGATTCAGGTACAAATTGCTTTTAAAACATATATGGCCTAAAAACTTGTTAAATGATAAACAGATAATCTCATCAGTTAAATGAAAATCTTGGAAAGGAAGAAACAGAAAAGGTAAATGATGCTGATGCATTCATTGTGTCTTACTGGTTCTCATAATTGTGGATTATGAACGCTATGTTGAAGAAAACTTGTTGAAGCTCAAACCGATTGGCATGACTAACTGAACAATATATTATTTCAGCTGTGACTCTAAATCACATGAACCGATTCGATTATCGGAGAACAAAATTAAACAAATGTTAACTGTTTTGCAGGGAGTGTCTGCAGTAGGAGCATTTTATGAACTCCTGAGTCAATCAAGCTTAAGTGTGTTGCATCCTGATGGAAACATGCCTGTTGCTCCTGTTGAGTTGTGCCCTTTATTGAAGACTCTATACAAAATTCTTATTACAAGGTGACTTCAAATTCCTCAATAGTCCCTATGATAAAATAGTGAAATTGCACTTTTGGCCCCTAAGAAAAATTTCCTGGATCAATAAGTCCAATGTTAAGCTTATTCATATAATTTGAATGTTTCAGGGAGAAGTCTTCTCAAGCTATTCTTCAGGCTCTGAGAGATGAAACGTTGAACGACCCCCGAGAGCGCATCGAGATCGCGCAGACACATGCGTTTTATAAACCTTCGCTTCTTGGCCAGCCTTGACAGGTTTGCTGCACCTGCACACCAAGAATTCAAGTTTAAAGGAGACTTACTCATATGGAAGCAATTGTTTCAGAATGCAACATGGTGTCATTGTTATAAATATAAAGTACCTGTTTATTTATATGTTATCGAAAGCTCCATTGATGAAATTTGTCTGAGATTTTCAGCATTTTTTTTCCAGAACTATTTCTTTTCGACAAGGAGAGCTTATTTATTTTTCTCAATTCTAAGTATTATTTTTGGTAATAATTTTGATATAATTTTAATAAAGGTTAATATATTTTGGATATCTTTGTAACCTTTGATATTCTATCACATTTAATTTAATTTCAATAATATCTACTTATTATAGACTGAAAAAGATAAACAACACAAAATAAATTAGAAAAAAAAGCAAAATAAATTTTTAACTACAATTGAGATAAATGATTAATGTTAATTAACTATTAGAGTAACAAAAAAATATCAAATTGTTAAATATTATTGAATTTTGACAAACTATTACATTATTGTGAATGATACGATTAGGCTAAAAATAAGTGCACAAAATATGTATCGAAAAAATGTTTTAATGCCTAAAGAATTTTTCGTTAAAATATGTTCTTAATGTTTTCTCCTTTACTATTTTAGGTGTTTGGACGTTAACTGTCGTTAAAAATCTCTGTTAAATGACACGTGTAAATAAAAAATAAAAAAAATATTAAAAAACCTTAAAAATTTTCAAATCTTAAAAAAACTCAAAACTTTTAAAACTTTAATTTTAATCCCGTTACCATAGTCGACCGCCACCAACACCATTAATCGGTCGAACACCCATCGACGTGTGACTGGCCAACCACCAACCACCAAAAGCCTCAATACTTTCGCAACCGATCGAACACAAAAAAAATGTAAATGAAAGATTTCGTTTTACGGTTTTGAATGATTTATGTTTGAGAATTTGTAAATTTAGGGGGATTTGGTGTTCGATCGGTTGTGAAAGTATGGTGGTTTTTGTCATGGGTGGTTGGCCGGTTACACATTGTTTCGGCCGATTAACGATTTTGGTGGTGAACAGCGGTGGCAAAGGGATTAAAATTATGGTTTTAAAAGTTTTGTTTTTTTCATATTTAAAAAAATTAGGTTTTTTTAATTATATTTTTTATTTTAAATAAAAATTTTCAAAATTATAAGAACGTGATGCATTTCACTTAACAGAGATTTTTAACGGTGGTTAACGCTCAGACACCTAAAATGGTAACAAAAAAAAAACAATAAGCACCTATTTTTAACAGAAAATTCTTTAGACACTAAAATATCTTTTGAGATATAATTTAGAAACTTATTTTGTATTAAACTATAAGTTTAAAATATCACCAACAACCTTTCCTCTATTCGATGTTAACAAATGTTTTTTTTTTTAATTTTTTTATGAATTCTATTTTTTTTTATGTAAATATTTTAATGCAATATTTGATCTTTTATGAGTAAAAAAACCATTAAATATGTTATTCTTTTGAAAATGAGTATATAGTATATACCATGCTATCAAGCTTTTCTTTAATCTCTACTTCTCCGTTCCCCTCTATTCTTTACTTATATTAAAATATAGGGTAAATTACACTTTTAGTACATAAATTATTATTTTTATTTTGTTTTTGTATCTAAATTATATTTTATCTAACGTTTAGTTTAGGTTTCAATTCATATACCCGTTGTTAAAAATTTAAAGGCAGCGATGACGCACAATTATTTTCCTTTTTTTTTTATATTTCACATGTCTCATAATGTAGTTTTCACGTTACCAATATCATTAAAATTTTAATAGGTATCAAATTGAAACATAAACTAAGCATTAGGTATGGTTTAAAAAAAATAAAATTTAAGTACTAAAACAGAACAAAAATAATAATTTAAGTACTAAACATATAATTTACCTTTAAATATATCATTTAATTTAGCTTATTAATGACTTCAGTGGATAAAAAATATTTATAATAAGTAAAGATCTTAAATTTAATCATTTATATTTGTAGTGTGTTGTAGATTTTTTTAAATAAATATTATTTTATAATATTTGACTATTAAAAAAATGGCTGCTTCCACACAAGCCACGGATGCAGCCAAAAGAGCTTGGACAGTACTCTGAATATAACCACTAAATAGGGTTTAAGTCACAGTTATAAGTTCTACCCAACATGGCGAATGAAGAGCTACTCAAGCCCTTCTACCAGAGTGCTACCGAGGCCGAGGTTTGCAATTCTTTTACTTATTTTTCATTGTACAACTTTTTTTTTGAGTTTTGCTTTATGTTTTTGCTAATAGAAATTCTCTTTGAATATAATTGTTCCATTAAAACTCTGTATTTTACTATTACTGGATAAAGGGTTCTCTTTCAATCTGATTTTTTTTTGGTTGGGACGTGCCCTTATCAGTTTCTTATTGTGGGTTGATAAAGATGTTCAATTCTGTTGTTGATATCGTTTGAGGAGTTGCACGAACCAAATGATCTCTGTAGTTAAAAGATGATTTTATCTCTAGAGCTCTCAGTTTGAGCACCAACAACAATGAAGCATTTGATTGTCAAATAGTTGAGGATCTTTAGAACAGATCCTTGATTACCACTTGTAATCAACTTAGATTAATAAAAATAATATATCGTTAGAGTAGTCATGGAAATTGACTTGGCCTGATAGCCTTTTGAAATAAATAACTCTACATACCTTTCCATTTGTGAACAAACTGGATTTCTGGTCTACTATTTACCAAGTAATTTCCATTCTCAACCCTTGAAAGTACTTTATGGCTCATACTAGTGAGTTTTATGTAGTTTTTTGACTTATACCTTGTTGAGTAATCAGCACTTTTCGATTAAATCGTTATTTTTATTATCAATTTATAAACATTTGGATTTTTTGATATCACATTCTGTGTTCTGCTTACTAGTATTTTTGCTTTTCGTATCAAATGAACGGTTATCCATGCTCGAAGCTGTTCTAGCAGGCAACAAAGGTAATGGTCGACGAATTCCACTTTCAACTGAGTTATGTTTATATAAATTAGATTCTAATGAGTTTACTAAATGTTGGCAATGTAGATGCTGAAAATCAGGAGCATTCCCAATCAATAAGTGAATTACAGGCAAAGTTAGAAGCTGCAAATGCGGAGCCACTTGCAGAGTGGGAAAAGGTTGTTGAAAATTTGTGCTATTTTCTGTGGAAATCAATAGGGTTTATAGCATGCTGACTTGTTACTTGTAGGCTAAGCAGCTGGCCATGGAAAATGAAAAACTCAAATATCGCATTGCTCATCTTGTTCGAGCAGTTAAGGAGGCTGATCAGAAATAAGAGTGCATGAGAGGTAAAAAATTGAAAACCTCTGAGCCGACTATTAAGCTTATATATCATCAATTTTCCTAGAATCAGAAACTGTTTATGAGTAATTAGATCACCTGTAGTTCTAGAGTAATTAGGCTTTTGAGAAATGGTTTCGAGTTATTGTCATTATCATGTCTTAGCTTATTTCAATGCATAGGTCTTAGGCAAGTGTTGTCTTTTGCACCTTGTTCTTCAAGCAATATGGTTTTAGTGCTTAGAGTGTGCTTGAGCCATCAATAGAATGAACCATGTTTATTTCCTTTTCTTCATTTCTTTAGTGGTTGTTTCGAACATTTGGAGTCCCGGTGTGCCATACATTACTCACATCTTGCTAATAAATCCATTCAATGTCAACAGGTCATGTTTAGGAAGCAACAACACAAACATCTTGAAGAGACAATGCGATTGTGAATTTGGTCCTTGAAGATTGACATCTAGCTGAAACGAAGTCTTGTGTTTTATCAGTACCTCTGCAGTGCAAGGCACGTATGAACATTTTCGGCTTCAATTTATATAATATTTGGATTGATTGGTACTTAGCATGAACAAAAGGCCTTGAATGAAAATATACATTTCCGGTTTGAATTTATATAATCATTTGGATTGATTGGTAATAGCCTAAAAGTAAATGTGGATAAATAAACAATCTTACATCTTCAAGAGACAGTTTTAACAATCCTTGTAAGAGTTAAAATTAGCAAAAGCAAAAAAGAAAAGAAGAAGAAAAAATGTCAAATATCCACAACCACTTACGTGTCCTTGTCTGGTAAATTTTCTATCTCTACGTTCGAGTCAATGGCGGAACTTGGTGATAGAGTTTGAGGGGCTAACTTCAAACTTTAAAAGATTTAGAAGTTTAAATTAAAATTTCAATTTTTTTTAAGAGTTCAGTTTACATTTTTTCAAAAAAAGAGGTCAAACTGAAAATTTTGAAGATTTGAGAGATTTAATGAGAATTTTAAAAAAATCATGGGGGTTTTATTTAAGAACATTAAAAGATTTTAACTCTTAATATGAATTTCTAAAAATTTTGTGGGGGTCAAATTAATTTTTCTGAAAATCTTAAGAGTTTAAAATTAAAATTTTTCAAATTTTTGGGAGACCATAATCCCATATGTCCCCACTATGTTCTGCACTGGCTCAGGTCGTATAAAATGAACAACCTCTTTAAAATGTGGACCAACATAGTGGTTCAGAAGAAGTGGTGGCATTGTGACGGAGTTGGTGGTAGTCAAAGATCCGTCAATGAGCCCATGAGCTTTTTGGTCTCGAAGAAGTAAAAACAACTTCAAAAAAAGAGCAAGGTAAAAGAAAATGAGGGGAAAAAGTTGAAAAACTTAATTGGTTTTTAACAATAGTTTAAGGACCAAAATAGATATTAATTTATTTGTTATTATGGTATGTCAACAATTAAACAAATGTTAATGACTTAATGGTCATTTTATTACAAATCAAAAATGTTAATGACTATAACATATTTTTTTAAACTTCAAAGGTGAAAAAAAACTTAATCAAACATTAGCGACCATTGATATAATTTATTGAATTTAAAGATTAGTCAACTCTTGTCTTGTGTGGTCAAACGGTGTTAAGTAAGCTAGCTTAACATGTAACATCAAAACTTTATTATTGAGATAACAGTTGTTAACGATTGAATGACCGATTTATTATAAAACAATAACGTTAATTACCATTTCATTATATTTTTTAAGTAAATTTCAAAACTAAAAAATTTAATCATATTTAAGTGATTATTTATGAA